ATAGTGGCTGAAGGCACGGCCGCCGAGGCTGGAATGGAGGACTCGGGGGACTAGGAGGAGGCCAAACCCGGAGGAACGAAGGCAACGGGTACTGTTTTGAGGAGAGAGATCAGAGAGGTAGAGGGGTGCAGAGGAGTGGAGGGATTTGAATACAAGGGTGAGGATCTTGAAGTCGATCCTCTCTGGGACAGGCAGCCAGTGCAGTCTGGCAAGGACTGGGGTAATTGGGGAGTGAAGTTTCGTGCGGGTGAGAATGCGGGCGGCAGAGTTTTGAATGATCTGGATTTTATGGATGGTAGTGGAGGGGAGACCAGCAAGGAGGGTGTTAGAATAATCCAGCTGAGAAATGACAAAGGCATGGACTAGGGTTTCAGGGTAGGGCATTCAGCAGGCGATGAGATGGAGGAGTGAAGCAGAGTGATACAGAGGTTGGGTGACCGTATTTTGTAAACTAAATTTGGGGACACATATAAAAATAATTGAATTTACCACAATTCCTGATTTTAAAAAAAATCTGTGTATTTGTGGGATTTATTGGTTCTTGAAGTAAGGAATATAGTCTTATCTTTAATCTTTCCTGGAGTTTATAACCATGTTTTATTGAGGTCTTTTTGCCATCTTGATACCTGCCAGATGATCAACATCCCAAACCCGCTCAAATCCCGTTGAGACCCACTGTCTAGCAGAAGCTATATTTTCCTAAGAGTCATTTCAGTTAGTGTTTGGAGCTTCCCAAGGTTGAAACCTGTTTGTATAATGTTCATTCATTATTGTAAATGCTGTGTATTAGATTTTACAATTGGTTTATAAATCGGTCAACTTTTCATGAAAATGCAATATCATAATACTATTCCCACAACCAACTGAAATATCCGGAATGTGTTATTTTATTACTGTCATTGATCTTTTCCTTGCAGACACTATTAATGTTCCCTTGAGTCTCCACAGAGGAAAGAGATGCCATCCACCAAGGAAGTTTCCTCATCCTACCCAGAAAGCACTGGAGATAAATGATTGGTCAATGCTTGGTGACACTTATTGCTAAATAAAGAATCACAACTGGCCATTGGCTTTTCTATGGCCTAATTTCAGTTTTCAAATTATTTTCTTGGAACCTGGATTTATTCAATTGTAATAAATGCTAATGGATTGATTGTTCTGGTAATTAATGTTCCTACTTGGTGCAGTTCACTTCTTTTCCATCAAATTGTCAAACAATAAGTGTTCCATCATCATTCATATTCCCCATATTTGCTTTTCTGCATGATGAATGAATCATTATCTGGCAAAATGTATGTCACACAGGATAATAGACATATTCAGACCTATGTGTGGCTTCCACAAAAGCTCAGCGAGTTTGTTCTGCAAGAATCTGAACCCTAAAAACTGGGAGAGCTTCCTCAGTCAGCTGCCCCCAGACAGAGGGGGAAGCAGCACTGAAATTGGTCTCAAGTGCTCAGATTACGGAATTGAACATCAGTCAGAATTTTCATTCTTCAATGCCATCCAGAGCTGGAGGTGTGTACATGGGGACACTGGGTGGTAAATAGGATTGAGATTGGCTCTAATACTCTTTTCGGTCAATCAGCCTGCTGACACATACCCTCAAGGCTGCCTCCATGTACATCCCTGGACTCCTGGGTTATTGGTTGTTCAACGGGTTATGTAATGTGGCCTATTGGCAATGTGCAGATTGAATACATAACTCAGATTAACAAAGTGGACTGTTCCAGTTACTTATAGATTTCGTAGGTAGTTAGATTATTTCAATTATCTTGGGTAATGCAATACAATGTTTAGATCCAAAGACTGGGCGCTGTGCCTCTACCTTTATAGTACAGTAGTTAATTGAGATCTAATGTGATACACTCCCAACAGGCTGCTCTCTTCATGTTTCTTATTTCCATGGCAAGAAATGGGAAGTGAAGCCAGGCATTCCTGTCTGTCTTTTGTTTCAATAGATGACATTGTACATGCCATAACAAATACAGTATTACTGTGTCAGCCTGGCTCTGTTGGCAGCAATCTCACCTCTGAGTCGGAGGGTTGTGGTTCAAACCCCTCACCAAGACTTTGAACTCACAGTCTCTAGGCTGATTCTCCAATTCAATGGGGGGGAAGCTGCATTGTCACAGCTGCTGTCCTTCAGATGAGACATTAAATCAAGGTCTGGTCTACCTGTTCAGATGGAGATTAAAGGTCCCTTGGCACTATTTGGGACGTCCTCCCCATGTGAAAGGTGCTTTACAAATGTAATTTTGTTGTTGTATTTCCAATATTATGGGAGTTTCTCCCAGGGTCCTAGCCAACAATCCTCCAGATAAAATTGTTCATTCCTGTGAAGTGCTTTGAGATGTTTCTGTGAGGTGACAAGGTGCTGTATCAAATGCAAGAATTATTATTACTATACCCCCCAGCTACTTGAACCCGTTCAGATCCAATTGAAAGGAAACTGGAGTGAACATTAGGCAGGTGAGTCCCACATCTCAAATCGTTGTGTCTTTTAGGAGGCAGTTGATGATACCCTTCACCCCTCAATTTATTCCTCTGTGACTTACTGTTAGTTTTTCAAATGAAAGGTATAAATTTAGCGTATTCTAACACAGACAGTTGTTCATTTGGATCATTTACTATTATTATTTTGAAATGGAGCTTTTCCTTTTAACAGTAACACTGTAAGCATTGCTAATGTTACAAGTAATTTATTGAGCCATTGTGTTGTTTTTTTCCCATTCAGCTCACGTCAATTAATTATATATAGACTGGTGTACCGTGTCTCGATGCTCAACCCCCAAAGCCTACAATTGTGGACTGTTTTACGGAGAAACTTGCGGGTCTTTTAAGTATTGAAATGCTGATCTGTCTCCATCCACTGGGGCAGCTAAAGATAGCCCCGTGACACTGCTCTGTTTGCTGAAACTCTTCATTACAGCCAACCACAACCACTCCACTTGTGGATCCTCCGAGGCTGGGACAAAAAAACATCTCTCCCGACAGTCACAACAACAAACAATAATAATCCTGGCAATCCTTACCGAACCCAATGGGGGAAAAAAAAATCCTATCAACTTCATTAGTCCCCATTCACTCAGTCGCCAGAGCATGTGCATATATTAATGTGCATATATTAATGTGCATATATTAATGTGCATATATTAATGTGCATATATTAATGTGCATATATTAATGTGCATATATTAATCTGACTCTTCCTTTTAAACGGCTCCTTCATAACTCCTGCAAACTGGTCTGTAAAGAAAGGCGGTGGGAGCGCTGCATGTGTACCAGCTTCTGGTTACATTTGGCAAGAGGTTGCTTTGGTAATGAGAGGCTGCAGTCCTGTGCTCCCTGGGTTGCACTGTTCACCTTGTCCACGTTTTGCAAGGTGTCTGTCTCACTGTAGAAAAGCCGATTGATTTGTTTTACACCCCCCCCCCCCCCCCCCCCCAGAGGTCAGTCACCACACACGAGCTCCAGCCATGCCAATTCCCCAGGTAACTAACACAGGTGATAAACAAGCAGCCAATGTTTTCCAGTGGCGCACAACTGCCCGACTTTACCCGTCTTTCGCTTGTTCCAGAGGCTAAATTAGAGGAGATTTTGCCACATCATTGGATTTGATCAGAGCTCTCTCAGAGGTTTTCCTTCAATGAGGTGAATTCTCAAAATACAGTAAGTAGTGAGGATGTGTTTGCTCTCCGGATGGGCAGGGTTTAAAACCTGGTATTTCACAGACTTGAGCTGATGTAGTTTCAATCCAACAGCTCAACAGCATCTCCCCCCCCCCACCCCCCACACACTCACACACTCTCTCACACACACACTCTCACACACACTCTCACACACACACACACACACTCTCTCACACACACACTCTCTCACACACACACTCACACTCTCTCACACACACTCTCACACACACACTCACACACACTCTCTCTCACACACACACACACTCTCACACACACACACTCTCTTACACACACTCTCTCTCTCTCACACACTCTCACACACACACACTCTCACACACTCTCACACACACTCTCTCACACACACACACTCTCTCTCACACTCTCTCACACTCACACACACACACTCACACTCTCACACTCTCTCTCACACACTCTCTCTCTCACACACACACACTCTCACACTCTCACACACACACACTCTCACACTCTCTCTCACACTCACACACACACACTCACACACACACACTCACACTCTCACACTCTCTCTCACACACTCTCACACACACACTCTCTCTCACACACACACACACACACACACAGAGAGGGGAAGGCATTCCTCGGAATGATGTCAGGCAATCTGCGGAAGAGAGCGAACTGGCTTCCCTGAAGCAACGTGTGAGCGGAAAAGTTGAAGCATTTTGGAAGCGGGGGAGGGGGGAGGCGTGGGCTCCGTGGGGCAGGGCTGGGGGGGGGGGGCGGGGCGCCGTGGGGCAGGGCTGGGGGGGGGGGGGCGGGGGCTGAGCAAAGCGAAGGGGGAGCAGAGCCTCGCGAGTGGCCAACAGCACAGTTCAGCGCTGACAGCAGGTCCCGGGTCCCGGGGCTCAGACACACACACAGACACACACACCGCAAAGTCTGGGCATCGGGGAACAACTCGAGCACATCCGTCCTGAGCTTCCTCCATCCATCCACATTGACACTGCCCTCCAACTGGAGAGGGGGAGCGGGTGTGTGAGTGTGTGTGTGTGTGGGGGGGAGAGAGAGAGAAGGGAAAAGGGAGGGCTGGACGCACACTGTTCTTTTGTGGGAAGCGTTTTTGGGAGCGTTGCTCGAACCGGGAGACGGGGGCGCAGTGACCTCTCGAGGCTTTCGGTTTGAGCGGATCCCGGGAAGCTGTCATTCGGGAAGTTTAGCTTCTGGGGCGCTGACGCTCGTTGGGATCGATCCCCGCCCCCCCCCCCCAAAAAAAAAAAACACGGAATTGGAATTTTTATTTCTCTTCCCCCCAAAAAAAAACACACACACACACACACACACACCTGAGGAGGGGAATCAATCGCCGTGGGCTTTTTTTCTTCCAAAATGCTGGGTTGCTAGAGGATGGCGTCGGCTGTGTTTGAAGGGACCTCTCTGGTCAACATGTACGTGAAGGACTGTTGGGTGAACGGCGTCAGGAAACTCATCGTCAACCGGAGGGAAGAGGAGTTTTTCGAGATCCGGAGCGAGTGGTCGGACAGGAATGTGCTTTACTTACACAGGAGTTACTCAGACCTGACCCGAGTCTTCAAGAGGTTACTGGAGACCTTCCCCTTCCCCGCGGACCAGGCTCAGCTCTCCGGATCGCCCCTCGTCCAAGGTTTGGATTAATTTCTTTTCTTTTTTTTTTTGCAAACGTTACAGAGTCATGTAACCCCCCCCCACCCCCCACCCCCCACACCCCCCAGACAGCGTTACACAGCAAACTCGTCTCAACAACAACAACAACAACAACAAGATTCCATTTATTGAGCGCCTTTCACGTCGGGAGGACGTCCCAAGGCGCTGTACAGTTGGGTCAGGACCCAAAAGTCTCATTACTTTTAGTGGGAGGGTTTTTTTTTTAAGCAACAAATAAACAATGACGACGACGGCTATTTTTTTTTTAAAAAAAGGGCTTAAAGTTAGGGAGTTGCCTCGCACGGTGGCTGTTCCTGTCCTGGTTCTGACTCGGGTTAAAGTGCGATTCGTGGCTCGGAATCATTCAGAGAAGAAGTGCAACAGTTCCACCGACTGCTCCTCCTCTCCCCCACAGATCTAGTGATGGGAGTGTTATCCAAACCGAGTTATAGTACCGGTGGCAGGAGAAGGGGAAGGAAAAAGGGGGTTTTGCTTCGAAAATCTTGTGTAAAATTCACTGTGTGGGAACAGTTAATAGCAGCTCTTGTCACCCCCCCCCCCCCCCCCACCACACACACACACACACACACAGACACACACAGACAGACACACACACACAGACACACACACACACACAGACACACACACACACAGACGCATCAAAAAAATAATAATAACACAATTCAACCAAACCACGCGTTGTATTTGTTCGTGTAAAACGATCGGCAAAGGACACCTCAGCCCTTGGAGTTTATTTGACAACATAAGATCACAAACCGCAGCAGCGAAGGATCCGCACGACCTGTGACAGCTCTGCAAAAAGCTCCGAGACTGTGTGCAGACTCCGGTTTGGGCCGTCGAGAGCTGCGGATCCAGTCGAGAGCGCATTCGGATCGAGAGGAGGAATTGCTGGATTTATTTTCCGGGGAACTGCAGTGGATGTTTTTTTTCCTCTCTCTCTCTCTCTCTCTCTCCTCTCTCTTGCGAAGGAAATACGAAATCCTTTACGCATGTGAGAGCTGTGTGGCAGAGCAGTCTTTCCGGTGATAACTTTCCCGAAGATGCTCTCCCCCCTTTGAATTATCGATGCACTGCTCAGTGCCACTCAGGGCAATCCGATCCCATCCACACACACCACCTTTTAATTTTTTTATCATTCGTTTCCAATCGTTTCTTTGCGCAAAAGCACCCAAACAGCCCGTGTGTGACCCGAACCTCTGCTGAACAGTTTTAGGGGACATCATCGACTCCCTTACTTCTGTTTATCTGCAGAGATACACATCTGCTTTGCAGAAATGTTCCTTTGCGCTGATCCTCTCGAATCTGTGTTTCTCATCTGGTGTTTTGAAAGCTGAGACTTTCAGCCCAGACCACACACCAGACTTTCCTCCTCCCCACCTCTCCATGGACTGCCAAGTGATGCCCCTGAGAGGCTACTGGTGGTATTGCGTACAGCAGCAGCTTTTACCTCGCCAGTTTTTCTCCACCAGTTATTTCCCCCCCCCCCCCCCCCACTCCCACTCCCAAAAAACTTTGAATTATACTTAACGAGCACTGCCCAGCTATAAAAAGGTCCCAAAAGAGACATTTAGCCTATGAGACGTTAAACTCTCAGTTTCTCATCTGCATCTTTGAGCAGTCTTTCCATTCCATTTCCAGTTCAGGGAAATTAACATAAGAAGGTCAGAAATACCAGAGGAAAAGAAGACCAAGGTCCATCTAGTTCGCCTTCCACCTTCCTTGCGGTTGCATTCGCATATGTCCTGAACTACCCATATACTGTACCCATGGTGTTATTTCCTAAAAGGAAAATAAGAACTCAAAGAAAAATAATAAGAGATTACAAGGGTAGTTTTTGTGCCTAAGACAGTAGATAAAGCAATAAAAAAAGGCATTTTATATAACCTCTTTCACATCAGGAGGAACTTTCAAAGCGCTTCACGGGATTTACTGTAAAGTGTATTTTATAGTTTGGGAGGAGATAAGAATCCTATTGGAACATCTCACCTTTATCAGATGATCTGTTTAGATATTTTATTGTGAAATTTCTTTGCCAGTGAACAACAACAACAAGATTACATTTGTATAGTGCCTTTCACGTCGGGCGTACGTCCCAAGGCGCTGAACAGTGTACAGCATTTCAGACCCAAGCGGGGGTCAGGGGGGAGAAAGGAGGGGAGGGGAAGGGGGGTGACAGATGGCATGGTCCCGCCAATGGTGGGGCGGGTGGGTCGGGGACGTGGAGCAGGACAGAGCCGGCTGAGCAGAGGGAGCAGGCGGGTTGGTAGGGGGTTAGGTGGTCGCAGAGGTAGGGTGGGGTGATGCCATGGAGGGCTTTGTAGGTGAGGATCAGGATCGTGAACTGGATCCTCTGAAGGATAGGAAGCCAATGGAGTCGGGCGAGAATGGAGGAGATGGGATCACGGAGTTTGCTGCGGGAGAGGACACAGGCTGCAGAGTTCTGGATTATCTGCAGCCTGTGGAGGGAGGAGTTGGAAAGGCTGACAAGTAGGGCGTTGCATAGTCGAGCCTGGAGATGATGAAGGCATGAACAAGAGTTTCAGTGGCCTGAGGGGTGAGGTAGTGGTGGAATCGGGCGATGTTACAGAGGTGAGGGAAGGCAGAGCGGGTCAAGGCTTGGATGTGGGGAAGAAAAGACAGTTGATGGTCGAACAAAACACCTAGGTTCCTGACTGGCTTGGTGAGTTGAAGTACAACATTAACAACAAATTGTATTTGTATAGTGCCTTTCATACCTGGAGAACGTCTCAAGGTGCTGAATGTCAAATTTTCAAGAAAATATGGTTAAAATCAGCATCATGTTGTTCTGTAAATGTTTTAACTATTTTGGTTTACACAGTAAGTGGGTGGTGGGGAGGAAGGGAAGTAACTTGGAAGGATTGTTGAGTCTGCTAGTGTGGGGAAGCAAAAATTCACAGACACAGTCAATACTGAATCATCTCTGAGTGTTATAATGATATTATTGTTAATTCAGCTCTATACACACAAGAGCACAAGAGGTTCAGATGAAGAAAACATTTCAGCCCATTTGAACTCATCCTTCCAGAGTACTTGTTCTATCTCTACCACCTTTACAATATCAAGCAGTTTCTTACGTTGAATGTCCTAGGCTCTACCATTATCCTTTGGTAACTAATTCCAGCTGTTGATTACCTCCTGGGTAAGAAATACTTCTTGGTGTCTGACCGAAAATTGCCATTCACAACCCTAAACCTGTGCATGCTTATTTACTCTGTTGCCAGAATATTTACTTTGATTTGCATTTACTTTTATGTATTCCTCCAACTCCCTTTGAGGTGGACATTTTTCCCAGGCTAAAGAGCTCAAGCTTATCTAGTAATTCTTCATCACTTGTTTCTTTAACATTTGTATAACTCTTCTCTGAGATTTGTCCCTCTAAGTACCTTAGGGTACAGTTCATTACAGTGTTGTATTTGTTTCACTCCCATGAACCTATCCAGAACCTCTGCCTTGCAATTACCAAGTCCTGAACCTCACATGGCGTGTGTTGGATGTTGGACGGCATATTATTAAAGCCCTTGATGTTAAAAACCTCCCAAACCTCCTCTTTTTCACTTCATATTGTGTCCTTTAGAATTTTGACTTTCTTCTTGACAACCTCTTATTATTGTAATATTGAAATACCATTGATATTGAATCATACATGAATGTGTGTATATATTGTTATTAATGCTCATCAGATCCATATATGCAGTATATACTGAATCATTCTGGGTTGTATGATTAGAATGTTAATAGTGCTAATTCAGCTCCGAACAGTCAGCATGAGTATTTCCTTTAAGTCAGTTGAAGTTGAGTGGTGAGAATTTTGGTTGGGTTGATGTCATCAGTAGCTCTCATTGAAAAATAAAATGATTTAGAAACCGGTAGTTAGGCAGAACGAAGAGGAGAGGATGTTGATGTTCAATGCAATACATGGTAAATGCTTGGTTTTAAAATGCACCCTCATGGTGAGATATCCTATTGACTCAAAAGACCAATTAAAAGTGCTTCAGCAATGAAATGTTTTGAACGACCTACATCCCTCAATTTATAAATTAAACATTCACTGGAGGCAATATTGACAAAGTGACTTACAATACTTATGTGTTGTAAATAAATCTAACTTTATCCTGATGTTTTCATTTTGAAAGTGTACTGTTACACATTTTCCATAAGGGATAAATGACATAGGGCTGGGTTGACCAGATTAATATGTATTAATATGTATTTTTGCTCCAAGCCTGGAAACAAAATGGTAAATCACTATTGGACTGAATGCTTCACTATCTTAATGTCTACAGCACTGCTTAATGATCTAGTCACTTTAAGATTGGATAGTAGCTCACTGTGATTCAAGATTTTTCTCCCAAATTGATTTCAAGATGTTTTGAAAATGTCATATGCTGGAGATCTGTAGCGTATTGGTTACAGTACTCGGTCGCAAACGAGAGGACCAGGTTCGATTCCTGGCAGGGCAAAACGTTAGGCAAGTTTCCTTACTCCACACGCCTCTGTTTACCTTGTAGTAAGTAGGAACCTGATTGTTAGTTGATTGGTGGATCGCTTTTTGGGGGCATTAGTCCCTTTTTAAATAACGTGATCACTCAATCCATGACGGTTTGTGGGACACTGCTGTGCGTAATAAGTTGTCACGTTTTACCACAAAATACAGTCAATTCACTTTAGGGTATACTCTATCTTGGCTCCTGTCAACGCCTTCTCACTTCAGGCACTGACAGCATCACCATCCATGGTTGCACACTCCACCTTACTAAGCCAGTCTGGAACCTTGGCTTCTTGTTTGACCCTCAACTATCCTTTCTACCCCGCATCTGTGCCATGACCCGCTCTGCCTTCCCTCACATCCGCAACATCTCACATCGCAGGCCACCGAAACACTCATACACACATTCAGAACATCCAGGCTTGACTATGCAAACTCCTTGCTAATCAGCCTCCCCAACTCCTCCCTCTATAGGCTGCAGATCATCCAGAACTCTGCAGCCTGTGTCCTCTCCCACACCAGGCTCTGTGACCCTATCACCCCATCTAGACTTCTGCTCAAGTACCGGACTGAGTCTGGTTATTTCATACTATATCTCTGAGGCTAGTGAAGCTCTGTTTCAAGGCCTTCGTGAATAGTTTGTGGCCTCTTGTGGGGCAGATGAGAGCATTATGGATCATCCCAGCCTCAAATTTTTCCTGCCTCCCCTAGCTGGACAGGTGAGATTGAGAAGACAGTGTTTGAGAAATCAAAGATGCATTAGAGAGTCACCTGAGACTTTGAGCTGAAGTCCCAATCTATGGCTTCGAGAACCAGAGGTGAGAGTGTTACCTAATGAGTAAAACGCAGAACAACGGTTTCAGTAATGGTCAAAGGTGTGCTGGGAGCAGAGCTAGTGTGGGGCAACTTTGGCTATGAATGATTCAGTTAAAAACTTGTAAAAGAAGCCAATTTTACATGTTATAACTGAATCATAGCCAAAGTTGTTCCAAGGGAAGAAAAAAGTCTCATTGACGCATGTTGAGAGATTCAGCTTTCAGCTTATTACTGGAGACTTAACCACTCTCACCAGGAACAGAAAAAACATCCAGATGCTGATTTGCATTTTCAAACAGAACTATAAAAATAGGAGTTGTGAATGAAGTCACACTTTATTGCTCCTCACTGCTTATTATAATTTCTGTACCAGCTTTTAACATAGCTCCCCGCTCCTCCCCATAGTATTGGAATCACACAAAGTGCCACAATTAGTTGTGTGTGCTGCACTTGAAAACATCACTGTAATTTAGGATGTTTTCAGTTTTATAACGTACGTTAAAATATCTGTGGGCGCTTTACAGTAATGACTGTCAGGTTTAGTGACTTTCTTCTATGCAAACAAACAATAATAAAAGAATAATAATCCTTGCATTTGATGTAGCGCTTTTCATGTCTTCTAGACATCTCAAAGCACTTCACAGAATAGACTGTAAAGTGAATTGACTGTGTATTTGTGGGCAAAATGCGGCAGCCAATTGCGCACAGAAGTGTCCCACAAACAGTCGTGGGTTGAAGTGAACACAAAGAAGCGTATTTTCTTCCTTTTTTTTGTGAAGTATTCATTGTTACCTTTCTTTGTCAAGTGCATATAATTACTTTTCTTTGTGAAGTACACTTTGCTACCTTTCTTTCTCCTCTGCATTGTCCTCACCCTTGGTAGGTGAAATGTTAGACCAGCCACGTCTTACAGGTCACGTTTTATGCACAAAAGAGGTTTAGCTGCAGATTATTTGCAAAAGCAGTAATTATATGGGTGGAGGTTCAATTACAATTTTAAGTATATATGTAAATAATCTATGGAAATCCTGATCATGCAGTTTTCATGCTGCCTATTTATGCATTTGCCTGATTTCAGTCTTATGCTCAAGAATTGCACTGGGGTCTGATCTGCAAACAAGGATCCAAATATATATCAGATCAATATCAGTGCCCTGGTAAAATAAAACAGAATTTTGCTCCGGATCACTATCCAGTGATCCCTGCGAGGAAATGGGTGGGTGTGGATATTGGTGAGGGTAGGATTCAGTTTAGCAGTATTGTGTGTTTGAGGCACATAATGTCTTGGCTTCTGTCAATCTGTGTCTTTGTTCTCAAACTGAGGCAAGCAGAGGGCATATGCTTGCCCAGGTAAGGTTGTGCACTCCAGAATTGTCCAAGCAAAAACTCTGTTTCTGCGAGGTATAGCTTGGACCTTGAGACTCTGAAGACTAACCCGGTTTGACTCAGAAATCATAACAGCAGTTTTGGTGTGTCCCAGACTCCTGGCTGATAAAAACAAATGGGAAGAAAATTGGAGCAGGAAAAAATATAAAAAGTAAAGTGATATAGGAGAGGGGATCCGACAAGTGTCAATTTAAACCATCAATTTAAAGATTTCTTAATAAGGACTCCAGGTCACAAATGCAAATTCCTTTCATTAACAGGAAATATGCAGACTGCAGGACTCCAACCCGAAGGTGGATCTCATAGGAGTGAATTGCTCATGGGTCACGTTCCTGGAGGAAATCAATTGTTTGTGAATCACAATCATCATGAAAAAAAAGTTTGAATTTGTTGTGTTTTAGACCCCCAAATCTACGCCAGGACAAAGACAATGGACTCTCTGATTGATCCAAAACACTCTCTGCCCTGAAACAAACCTAAGGAGAGACAACAATTATCCGTTAAAAGTGCAATCATCAAAGAGGAGCTTTTAAAAGCTTCTCAGAAATTCTCTAGGCTTGCATCATCAGAGGCTCTCCAGAACAACAGGCTTGTTTGCAGTCAGGAATTTGCAGATTACAAGCCAGAAATTCCTGATTTTGTGGGCCGGACAGATGACTGAATGATTTGGTTTAGTCGACAATATGTGGTTGGCTGTGTGTGACGATAGCAATCACAAGCTTATTCCTATGAATCACTTGTGAGGCATCCTGTCAACTGACAATCAGATGAAGAATGAGTTGTTGAGCTGACCTGTGCATGGGGTGTGGTTGAATCAGATGGACAAGAGCAGCAGAAAGCCACTCCCCACTCTCCCTTTCTTCTCATGAGAATGAAGTTGCCAAAGGATTAGAGGATGTTTAATCACTCACTTCTCTTTAGTAAATGAGAGCAGTGACCCACTGAAGCACTCACTGTGTTCAGGCTTCTCTGTCATTCTTCATTATTGCCAAAACAAGGAGCTAGTTGATAGGCTATTTAACTACGGTGGCGTCAGAGCTGAGCTCAGTCCTGTCCCCACCCACCCAGGAATCAATGGATATTGTTCAGAAGCAGAGATACTTGTTGATTATTTCCTCCTCACTAACCAAAGGAACATCAAAACCAACTATTGCCTGACTGAGATCAACCCAACTTCAGATAAACCAGGGATCAAACCTTAACCTTTGGAGTCCTGTAGCTCATTGGTTAGAGCACTCGCATTGCAAGCGAGACACCTGGGTTCAATTCCAGGCAGGGTGAAACCTTGGGCAAGTTTCCTTATTCCACACCCCTAATAATAATCCCTCCAAAACAAAACAATAATAAATTGGTCATTTTCAATCCACGACTGTTTGTGGGACATTGCTGTGCGCAATTGGCTGCCGCGTTTCGCCCACAAATATACAGTCAATTCACTTTACAGTCTATTCTGTGAAGCACTTTGAGACATCTAGAAGATGTGAAAAGCGCTATATCAAATGCAAGGATTATTATCATTAACACTACATTGAGCAGTGCCCATACCCACTAAGGCATTTGGAACCCTCATTGGAACCCATAACAAGTGTCATTGAGTGAGCGGATGTGTATTTTCCATTGCTTTGAATTGAAACTTGAAGTTTGTTTCACTGTAAATAATTAAAAGTATGGAAAGTTAATGACATCGGTCTTTCCAATAGAGAATGTATAAATAGATTTGCAGAATGACTCTAAATCAGTACAAGATCTTATGTTTGGTCTGTGAATGTTGATTTTAAAGCACAATCAATTGTCTTGTGCAGGAACATTATATTACTAATGTTTTTTGGTCAGCTGGGTGTCTGATACGTGTGGAAACCCATGCTTAAGAGTATCCAAACCAAATTGAAAGTTCCATCTATCCCACCTATACATGGAAATTCCCAAGATTGATGTTAACACTCTGTTACTGAACAAATCTCCTTGGAGCCAGTTCAGCTTCGAAGAGATCCTGCTTATCTCCACTCCCCCTAGTTGGTCACAACGTTACCAAATTAATGTTTGTGATGATATAAAGGTGTATCAGAGCAGCAAACAGGAAAGGATGATTTCACAGTGAATGGCGTTCCCAAGGAGCTGTGGCCAATACAACATTTGGCCATGTACTTATTTATACCTTGTTCAGTCTTGTTTGGTTGAGAAATAACATGAGCTTATTCAGGAAGAGTTGTGGAAACGTAGAATGCTCTGCCTCAGACGTGCTGTAGACGAGACACTCGTGATTCACTTTCCTATTTGGGAGACCTTTAACTTTGAAATAGTTTTTTTGTCCTGCTAGTTGTTTAAAGATCTATAGAAATGGTCTTCAAAGTCAAATCTGCATACAACAATTTGCCGAATTCTGCATGCTCTGAAATGCTACATTAATAAGAGTAAATTTAGCTCAAGGTGGAATTTTACCCCAACAGTGTCTATGAAAGCACACCTTCTTCTTTACTTGAATTCTTTAATTGCAGAATCATCACCTGTAAATCGTACTGTTTGATGGTGATGTGTGCGAATGTTTGGTAGCAGTCAGTTCCTGGAGTTTATATTGCGTCTTATATTGCATTTCTTTTCCCTTCCAGGATTAGTTGCAGTGAAGGAGGCTCGTGATATTGAAGCAAGACTGAACGAAGTGGAGAAAGTGCTGAAGATTATAATTAGCTTACCCTGTAAAGTAAGTCTTGCTCTATCGAGATGCCTCTTTCTTAGTGCGTAAGATAATTCTGAATGGTATTAACTGTCTGAGTATTACAGAATATGTCTCATCCCAGAATTTCTGAGCTCATCGTTACTCAGAATGAGAGAATGGGTGGGACCAGAATAATAGCTTAGTAACCAGTTTAAAGAGTCTTACAAATATTTTGTAAGAGCATAATGGAACAATTTGAATATAATTCCAACGTTATAGGTTTTTTGAGATATGTGTTCTGTAATGTATAATCCTTGCAGTTGATATGATGCCTTATCACGTTGAAACGTTGCAAAGCTTTCTGTAAAGTGCAGCAGCTGTAATTTGTTGGCAAACACAGCAATCAGTTTCCACGCAGCAATGTTCCACAACAAGCTATGAAGGGAATGATCATTTTTTTAATCTGGAGAATTGTTGGCCAGGGCACCAGGAGAAACTCCCTCCTTTTTCAACTAGCATCACAGGATCTTTAACATAAACATGAACAGACAGCTGGGACCTCGGGTTAACATCTCATCTGAAGAACAGCATTTGCAACATTGCACTGCAGTGTCAGCTTAGTGCAAGGCCCAACCCCTTGCAAATCACGCCAACTTGCAAAACCATTCAGGTTATTACATTTTTAGTTAATTTTACCATAGACTAAAGGAAAGTTTTCACAGAAGTCTTCTGTAAACTATTTTGTTGGTAAATACAATATCTAGTTTGCACCCATCAATGTCTCACAAACAGCCATTAAGTGAAAGACTAACTTATCTGGGGCATTGGTTGGCCAGGTTGCCAAAAGAAACTTGTTTCTCTTTTTGAATAGTGCAATGAAAAAAATGGACAGGACCTTGATTTAGTGTCTCAGCCAAAGGACGGAATTTCTGACAGTACAGTGCTCCCCTAATACTGCACTGAAGTGTCAACTTAGACTACAACAACAACAACAACAACAAGATTCCATTTATAAAGCGCCTTTCACGTCAGGAGGACGTCCCAAGGCGCTGCACAGTTGGGTCATGACCCAAACAGGGGGGAAATGGTCAGGGTGAGGGGAGGGAAGGGAGGGAGCGAGGAGGGGGTAAATGGTCAGGGTGAGGGGAGGGAAGGGAGGGAGCGAGGAGGGGGAAGAGAGTCGAGAGGGGAGCTGAAGGCTCGGTCAAAGAGAAAGGTTTTGAGACCGGCCTTGAAGGAGGAAAGGGAGGAAGCAAGGCGAAGGCACTGGGGGATGGAGTTCCAGAGCCTGGGGGCTGAGAGGCTGAAGGCCCGACCACCGATGGTAGGGCGGTTGGGGCGGGGGACGTGGAGCAGACCGGAGCCAGAGGAACGGAGGGTACGGGCAGGTAGGTAGGGGATAGTAGGTTGGAGAGGAAGGAGGGAGCAAGGCCGTGAATGGCCTTGTAGGTGAGGATGAGGATCTTGAAATCAATCCTCTGGGGGATGGGGAGCCAGTGGAGGCGAGCGAGGGTGGGAGTGATGTGGTCCCGAAGCCTGGTGCGGGACAGTACACGAGCTGCAGAGTTCTGAATGACCTGCAGCTTGTGGAGGGAGGTGGCGGGAAGGCCGGCGAGGAGAGAGTTCCCATAGTCCAGCCTTGAGGTGACAAAGGCGTGGACCAGGGTTTCAGCAGCGTGAGGGGTGAGGTAATGCCGTAGTCTGGCGATGTTCCGGAGGTGATGGAAGGCGGTGCCAGTTGTGGTGCGGATGTGAGGGAGAAAAGACAGCTCAGGGTCGAACAGAACCCCGAGGTTCCTGACTGGCTTTGAGAGGTGGAGAGTGCAGCCTTGGATGCTGATGGTGTCAGCGCCTGAGGTGCGGAGGCGCTGACGTGAGCCATATAAAACAGGCATTAATTATTATGTGGTAAAAATATAACAGTGGGGTTTTAATTGCAGAATTTCTTAACAGGATTTTTCAATAAGTTGTAAATGGATATAAAGGAATGAAATAATTATCACCAATCATATTTGTCATATCACGTACACTTGATTTGGGTAAATAAATGTTACTCTATTTACCATGGTTGTTTTTCTGTCGATCTCGAGCACTTACTAACTCTCTGCCTCTTTGCTCAGTATTCCAGGTCAGAGGTTGTCCTCACCTTCTTTGAAAGGTCATCAATAGACCAAGTGTTAAAAAATGACAGCATACAGAAGATTCAGATGAGCTTCCAAAGCCCAGTCAAAATATCTGGTGAGTGAAACACGTGAAGTTTCGTCTGGTCTTTCAGAGATGTCCGAGATGCTGCCACATGAAGGGCGCTATATAAATTAGGGTTGTTGTTGAAGTGTCCTAGTGGGTTTAGCAAAGTGGTGGCCAATTGGTGGATTAGATGTTATTGGGGGACAATTTGCTGTATTTGATGTGATAATTATCACGGTTTACAGAATTTCTAGTATTTTTTGACCCCATAGTGAATAACTGGTTTGGAGTTGAACACCCATTTGACTTCTGGCGAATTGTTCCTCCCTTTAGGCTGTTCAATTCTGGATTTCTATCATCTCATTAAAGATTTGAGGACATTTGTTTATTTAATACAAATATAAAACTATTTACATTGCGCCTTTCACATCAGTAGGACATCTCAAAGCACTTGACAAAGCTGGATGAGCACTTTAGCTGGGGATGGGAGCTGAGGGGGATAGATGACCCAAAGCGCGGTCAAAGAGGTAGGTCTTGAGACATGCTTTAAATGAGGGGAGGAGGGTTTGAATCAGAGGAGTTCCAGGGAGCGGAGGAAAATGGCAGAAAGTTCACCTGCCAGTGAAGAGTCAGATAGGGTGGGGGACATAAAGTAGGTCGAGTTTTCTGAGCAAAGGAGCAGCCAGGATGATGTTCTCCAGGTGTTCTGGCCAACAATCTTCTAAATAACAAATTGATTATTCACTTTATAACTGTTTGTGGGACATTGCTATAAAAAAAACCTTGCTTTTTTTGATGTAGCGCCTTATCACATCTTCGAGATGTCTCAATGAACTTCTCAGAATATGCTGTAAAGTGAATTGATCTTGTTTTCAAATCCCTCCACTCTCTGCACCCACCCCTACTTCTCTGACCTCTCTCCTCACAACAGTGCCCGTTCCCTTCGTTCCACCAGATATGGCCTCTTCCTTGTCCCCCAAGTCCTTTGCTCCACCCTCGGCGGCCGTCCCTTCAGCCATCGCGTCCCGAGGCTCTGGAACTCCCTTCCTCACTCCCTTCGTCTTGCTCCCTCTCTTCCTCTTTTCAGGTCTCGGGTGAAGACCTTTCTTTTCAACTGCGCCTTTGGTCACCTTCCTCCCCCTCCCCCTGGCTCGGCCCCGGGATCCGTTACTGTGAAGCGCTCTGAGACGCCGTCCGGAGTGGAGGACGCTATATATATAAATCCAAGTTGTTGTTGCTATATTTGTGGGCGAAACACGGCAGCCAATTGCGCAGAGCAGTGTCCCACAAACAATCATGGATTGAGTGACCAAATTATTTATTTTATCTTATTAGTTTTAATTAAGGGATTATCATGCCTGAGAAAGCGATCTGCCAATCACTTAACAACTGGGTTCCTACTTACTACAAGGAATTGAACCCAGATTCTCTTGCTTGCGAGGCAAATGTTCTAACCAATATGCTACAGGACTCCACATTACGTGAGGCTGGAGCAGAAAAGAATACATCCTAGACTGCAGTATGCCTTCAAGCAGCTATATCAGAGTGACATTGACTGTGACAGTGTACAATTGGCTGTACAAATTGGCTACCACATTTGCCTCCAAATATACAGTTATTACACTTCACAGTAAACACTATGAAGCGCTTTGAGACATCTCGATGACGTGAAAAGGTGCTATACCATTGTTATATATTCCAGAGATCTTGCTTATTCAGATTCTAATTTATAATAATAATAATCCTTGCATTTGCTATAGCGCTTTTCATGTCTTCTAGACGTTTCAAAGCTCTTCACAGAATATGCTGTAAAGTGAATGGACTGTATATTTGTGGGCGAAACGGTGAATGCAGTACTGGGCTTGTTGTGAAAAAGCTCTGAATTCTGCTGTAGTTAAATGTTGTATGAAAACTATAAAGGTAACCCAAAAAATATCAGTTTGGAGACTTCACATTCAATATCTGTTTCTTTGGCTCATTTGCTTGCTGTTTTCTGCGGGGCAACGAATTTGAGGATTTGTTTTCAGATAGATTAGCGCCATCTTCTGTCCAAACTTGTGGTGCGGCTCAATAGAGCAATGCTGAAAAACACACACATATTGCATTCTGAAGTTTTCTGAAGTGAAATAGAACAACGAGATAATAAACGGCTAATCTGCCTCTTCTCTCCACAAATCAAAAATAAGTTTACTAAACATTTTTTGCAGGGAGATAGCACTCCTTTAAGTAGAGGAACCAACATCTTTTCTACCATGTTGCATTATTACTACATAATAATAATTCCTTGCATTTGATATAGTGCTTTATCACGTCAGGAGGATGTCTCAAAGCTCTTTGCATGATCTACTACAGAGTGACTTTTACTTTGTAGGAATTTGCACACAGCAATATCCTACAAACAGCCATGATTTGAATGACCAATTTTATTTGGGGGCTTCTTGGCTAGGCATATATGGTTCACCCAACCCACGTTATACATCCCATTTTCCTCACCTGTTGATTTTTGGGATTCACAATTAGTGGTTTTGAAAATCTGAGAAATCAAGAATCTTCTTATCATCACAAACTGGAAACCACAATTAACACAACAATTACAAATTGTGAATATTGTAATTCAGACCCCATCGCCGCACTCAAAATTTTATATTCTGTGTAACTAATGCTACAACTGACAATTAGTGTTGAAAAAGTGCTCCTTTGGACATGATGATAGTAATAGTACCTCTCTGCTGGAAAAGATTCTTCAGGACAAATAATAATAATAATTCTTATACCTGATATAGCTCTTATAATGACAAAATATCACAAAGCACATCAGAGTTATTTACTGTAAAGTGTAGTCATTGTGTATTTGCAGACGACTGTGGCACCAATTTGCGCACAGCAATGTCCCACAAATAGCCATAGAGTGAATGATAATTGTTTATTGTAGATTGTTAGCCAGGACACCGGGAGAAACTCCCTTCTGTTTTTTTTTAACATTCACCTGAAAAGGCAGATGGAACCTCAGTTTAATATCTCATTCAAAGGACATCATTTTCAATATTGCAGCAAACCCTGCACTGGATTGTCAGCCTAGATTACGATTCTTTAATCCCAACCCTATGTAGGCACAGCAACTTGCGAGATCTCTCTCGTCCCATATAGGTTATTATATTTTCAGTGAACTATATCATAGACTAAGAAATGGTAAATACTGTACTCATAAAATAATCCTTCTCTCTGCCCTGCTGTGTCCCATTTGGTTTTGCACTTGGGAAAAGATTTCAACCCTAGACAATCACAATGAGGATGTCAGTGATGGCAGATGAGAACTCTGCTCCTGATAATGATGATGTGTCGGCATCAGCTATACCAAGAACGGTTACAGCATGCAGTCATACATAGAAAAAATATCTCTTTGTGATGATAAAATATCTGCCCCAAAATGCTCCTGAATTCATTACTCAGAGGCACATCCACACTGCTCCACTCAGTTGACATTCCTATGTCTCACACCAGGCATCTGAGGTTTCCGAATCAGTCTTGTTCACCCCAACCCAAAGCATTTTGACCTCATTATTTTGCCATCAATGTAGTGAAACTCCTAACCATTAAATCAGAGCTATCCACGTCATCCTTTGAGTCCTTGATTCACATTCTCATTATAGTGCTGGTCCTGCCTTAGTTAAAAACTTTGAATAGGAATAATGATTCACTAACTTATGCTTTGTTCAAGGTTTTCTTTTGCTTATATTCAGTGTCACAAAAAATCTCAGGTAAAATTTCACAGTTTTCATCCTATTAAGTCAGGCTTCCCTTCACTTTATGAATCTAGGAGGGCGTTGATTCTCCAGAATGTTATGACCTGTGTCTGAATATTATGGGATTGTTTTCATTTCATCTTCTATTTTGTTTCTGCACAGAAATTATGCGCTCCAATGGGTTCTGTTTGGCGAACACGGAAACCATTGTGTTTGACCACAGTATTCCAAATGGGAAAGACCAGATCATAGCAACAGATGCCACTGAAGCCCTGTGAGTATAGAGCTTTAACCTCGTGTAATAGCTCATGTTTACCGAGTGACTGAAAAACTAGTTTCAATAGGATAACAGACAGGCAACAATGAGGTGCCTGATATTATTCAGGATGGATAGACCAAATCTAGAGCAGTTTACGGACATCAGTAGACCCTCAGCTGGTCAAAGGAGATCTGACAACAATGTCAGGCTATTGATGACTTTACATTAGTGTCTGAGCTGAAACTGAGAATAGAGAGGTTATTAAATGAAGAGCTACATTTCCAGTTTGTGTAGAAGGAGGTGTGACACTCCTGATGTGTTAGGCTGGGAGTGGGATTGTAAGAAGATTGCCCCCAGGTGGAGGCTTCTTAACATTGCATATTTTACTTTACAACATAATATTGTCTTTCCATTCATGTTTGCAGACCAGGTATCATTGCAGTCCAAACAACACAATGTCTACCACATGCTCCTTCACCGCTGAAACCCCCAAGGGATTTCAGGGCTGCAGTGAAATAAGACTAGCGGAGGCTGAGAACTGTACTGGAATGTCAGACCACGTGATCTTTGGCGCCATTTCCAGCCTTCACTAACTGAATTCCACTGTTGCATACAAGTCATTGCATGTTGTTAATGGTGTTGTCATGGCACATTGTCAACAGTAATATCATCACATGTTGTCATTGCGTATTGCAATCACACATTGTCATTGCGTGTTGTCACCACATGTTGCCCAGTGATCAGTGTAACCATTTATAGGTCAGGAGTCACTGCCAAGGATCTGATGGCTCAGTCACAAAGCACTACAGAGAGCGATACTTTATGGCCACATCTCCCGTATTGCTGCTGGACAACTAGCCTATTGCAGGCTTTGCCCTGACAGCCCGGATCTCAGCAAAAGTCCAACTAATAGAGTGGGATCACTGAAATAAAGTTGCTGTTGTGGGTGCTATAAGTGGCCACAGCCTGCCATGCTAGCACAAAGAACTTCTAACAGAATTCCTGCTCCTGATGACAATCCAGCTATTCCTGCTGGAAATTTTGTGTGGGTGGATGATGGGCAAGGACAGGCTGGGTGTGTATTTAAAAAGTTGTACTGACTCACTCTTGGTCTAGACTCACTCATGAAGAATAGTTACTTGGATGCTCTAGTGACTATGAAACTAACCCTTAGCCCAAGAGAATGCGTTAAGGAGAGGTGGACCGGAGAAAGGGAGAATATTAAAGGGAGAAACAAAAATAGAGCATGATGGAAACTGCTAACACACTCTGTAGTAAACCAGTTGTGATTGGCATTTTGAAATGAATAGAATTTATGCTTCATCCTAATCATAGTTATGCTTCTCTACAACCTTTTGAAGTTTGAAATGAAGCATAACTGATTAGGATAAACCGTAATCATTATCATTTTATTGTAAGGCTGTGATTTAGCTGTGTAAGGGCTGGCGCAAAGACTGTACGTGTGACCGCCCTGCAGGACTGTGAAGCAGCCTTCTGTTCCACACAGCCAGATTCAGTGTTAACTGTCACAGAACTTAGCGAGCAGATGAAAATGTACCCAGAGAGATGATACTGGCAGAGAAAGCTCCAAACAGACCAGTGCCACCTCATCGAACTTCCCTCTGGTTTCACACTGTACAATTGCAGAACTGACATGGGGATCAGGGACGTGGAGCCACATTTAAGCTGATAAAGAAAATTGTGACTTTCATGTCAGGAAGATATCTCAAAAGTGTTTCACAAGATTTACTGTAAAGTGGAGTGACTGTGTGTTTTGTACGTTAGCACCTATGATCTCTGATAGGTCAGGTTGGTTAAGTGCTGTGGAAACACAGAATGGAGGTGAGGCAACCAAGGAATGACACATATCGCACACTTCCTAGTGGTGGGTCAGTGAACAGTACTGGCAGAGATAACTGGGACCAGCTCATTTGACTCACTGCTTCATCGGTTAATGTGTGCAGAAGTGTCATCAAAAGAGATAAAGATCATTTTAAATCAGTGGGAAGATATGATGGTTATAGGAGAGGTAGATTTAACACAGTGAAGCATTCATATTTCAAACTGTCCTTCGGATGAGGCGTTAAATTGAGCCCCTGCTCCATCTGCCCATTCATATGGACATTAAAGATCCCGTAACACTATTCAAAAAGAGAGGGGAGTTTCTCCTGGTGTCCTGGCCAACAATTGCCCAAATAAAATTGGTCAGTCATGGCTGTTTATGGAGCACTGTTGTGTGCAAATGTGTGGCTGTGTTCACCCACAAAACACACAGTCATTGCATTTTACAGTATATCCTTCAAAGTGCTTTGAAACATATTCCTGTTGTGAAAGGCACTATACCAAATGTAAGTATTATTATAATTATTAGCAGAGAGGTCCACATGTGATGCCTTGGATTTGAACTTGCTGGTCTCAGTATGGGTGGTCTCAGACTTCAGGTTAGGGAGGGTGAAACTCATTCCAGGTTCCCACTACTAATCACTATTTAGCATAACTTCTCCATCCACCACTTCACCCCATCAGAGATGTAAATTATGGCAAGCAAGGTTTAGCTTCAGTTCATCACCGACAACAACATGCATTTCTGTAGCGCCCATCACGCAGGCTGTGTCTTGGGGTGCTTACATAACCAGCCACATTTTAATAAACTGATAACATTCAACTTCAAGTCTCAGACATGAATAATGAACACTTGGGGAGAGTTGGCAGTTCCCAGGAAACCATACCAGCAGAATTAAGAGGCCTCACGAGAGGGGGAAGGGAGAATATCAGAAAAATCTGGTCTCTAGAGCGAGAGAGAGAAAGAGAGAGTGTAAATCGTGGGTGGAGAGACTATTCACAGAGGCATCTTCGTTCATCTGCGCTCAGTGTATTTGATTCATTATGCGCCTTGTCACATGCTTTCAACCCACACTGACACTAACTGAAACTTGTCTTCCAGCTTTGAAAATGGAAGTGAATATTCTGCCGAGGCTGAGATCAGTGACCCTAGTGCCTATGTCACAAACTTGTCCTACTACCAGCTTGTTCCTTTTGAGACAGATATTTTGGAATGATTCTATTAGAGGATTTATTTAATCAGAGGATGGCTCTTTCTCAATCCTCCCCCTCCCTGCCCCCAATCCTCAATTGAAGCATGAACTTTCACCTTTGACACCTCTCTCAGCAGCTTGTTTGGCTGGTCCAATTTCCCAGGGATTCGGCCTTTTTTCAGTTTGTCACTGAAATGTTTACAGAAAAACGAATTGACATTTGAAAAGCGACACTGATTGAAAGTGTGAACCTGTGCACTCTGGAGTCCTCGTGTATGATCCTTGTGATACAGAGATCCACGCGACCAAGGTCAACAGGAAAAGAAAAGGGCATCTCCTTCATGGAAGAAAAATCATCACAATAATTACAGAGTTATAGTCTTTAAACAGCAGCTTCTGAGGATAAAGGTCCCATTGTACAACTTTAGGAGCTGTAGCCATATTATTTCAAAGCACATTGTGTCCTCAGACCTGTTTGTAAGGAGAAAAAAAGAAGTTTGTGCAAGAACTGGGAAGGATTTAGGATCGTCATGTGATTGATTCCAAGTGAAGTCCTAAGACTGGACACCATCCTTACAGAGTGGAAAGTGAGAAAAGTTAGACTATCTTCGATGTCAAGTATTTTGGGACCAGGAAGAATGGGTGGATCCTGATGTTTTGTGACAATTTCTATTCCAGTTTTCATTACAAAGCCACCGCAGAGTATCTAGCAAGTGTTCACTTTGAGGTAGGTAGACAGAACTGTGACAGAACCGGCTACGAATGAAAAGCTCGAGCGATTGGTGCTATGGTGCCTATGCCTTAGTCTAAGAGGCTGCTCCTCACAGTATTGCTGCTGCTGCAGGGAATACACACACACACATGCACATTCTCTTCTACAAGCGCCTTTTAAACAAATATCTACTAACTTACTATTTTTGCTTCATGTAAATAGTAAATTATTGAAGTCTAAATTGTTTTATACAATGTGTCTTCAAATGTATTTTATTTGAAAAAGTATTAATCAATTAAAATGATATTTTAATCTGTGCATTAACCTATACCATCTGTTTGTTCCGATGCGGTCTGCCTGCTCTTCAGGGAGACATTAAAGATCCAGATACAACAACAACAACAACAAGATTCCATTTAGAGAGCGCCTTTCACGTCAGGAGGACGTCCCAAGGAGCTGTACAGTTGGGTCAGGACCCGAGCAGGGGGGAAATGGTCAGGGTGAGGGGAGGGAAGGGAGGGAGCGAGGAGGGGGTAGACAGTCGAGGGGGGAGCTGAAGGCACGGTCAAAGAGAAAGGTCTTGAGACCGGCCTCGAAGGAGGAAAGGGAGGAGGCGGCGAAGGCACTGGGGGATAGAGTTCCAGAGCCTCGGGGCTGAGAGGCTGAAGGCCTGGCCACCGATGGTAGGGCGGTTGGGGCGGGGGATGTGGAGCAGACCGGAGCCAGAGGAACGGAGGGTACGGGCAGGTACGTGGGGGGATAGTAGGTCGGAGAGGTAGGAGGGAGCAAGGCCGTAAATGGCCTTGTAGGTGAGGATGAGGATCTTGAAATCGATCCTCTGGGGGATGGGGAGCCAGTGGAGGTGAGCGAGGGTGGGAGTGATGTGTTCCCGAAGCCTGGTGCGGGACAGTACACGAGCTGCAGAGTTCTGAATGACCTGCAGTTTGTGGAAGGAGGTGCCGGGAAGGCCGGCGAGGAGAGAGTTCCCATAGTCCAGCCTTGAGGTGATAAAGGCGTGGACCAGGGTTTCAGCAGCGTGAGGGGTGAGGTAGTGCCGTAGTCTGGCGATGTTCCGGAGGTGATGGAAGGCGGTGCCAGTTGTGGTGCGGATATGAGGGAGAAAGGACAGCTCAGGGTCGAACAGAACCCCGAGGTTCCTGACGGCTTTGAGAGGCGGAGAGTGCAGCTTTGGATGCTGATGGTGTCGGCGCCTGAGGTGCGGAGGCGCTGACGTGAGCCAATCAGAAGGGCCTCAGATTTATGCACGTTGAGCTGAAGAAAGTTGTCTCTCGTCCAGGACTCGATGTCGGACAGGCAGATTGTCAGGACATCGGTGGTCGTGGAGTTGAGGGTAGAGGAGGAAAGGTAGAGTTGGGTGTCATCCGCCTACATGTGGAAGTTAACCCCATATCTGCGGATGATGTCACCAAGGGGGAGCATATAGAGCGTGAAGAGGAGGGGACCGACGACAGAGCCCTGAGGGACACCACACGAGACAGCCTCACACAACAAGAATGGGCGCTGGGCTGATGTGCTTGAAGGTGTATGGTTCCTGTACATCATATCTCAGCAGCAGTCAGGGCCAATGGAAAGAGGAAGAATGGGAGAAAACTATGGGGGGGAAAGATAAAGGGAGAGAGGCTGAGATTCTGTCCTATGATCCTGAGATCCTCCTTGAGGCTGATTAGAGTAACACTGGCAGAGGCCTGGGAGTGGGTCACTTGTGCACTCATAGCCTTTCGAGATTCCCTGTTAGACCCACGTTTACTTTTAAGTGATCGAGGATGTCGAAGATGTTTAACGTTACTTCACCAGATACCATTTTAAAATTAATATTAAAAGTTAAACTGTGACTTGACAGCCAGAAATAAAGGCTTCAGGATCCTCATTGACTATTAAAACAACATGTGGAGCTTTGGAATCTGAGAAGCCTGTGGTCTAAACCACAATCAAAATTTGGGGCAGTTATATTTTATATACTAGTGGTGGTTGTTCAACCATTTTGGTCGGCCACCAAAATACATTTTCTTGTGATTGAATATCTTGATGTACGCTACACCAACTTAACCTAGACTAACATTTGGTGGGCCACTTCTTGATAGTCCACAGGCCATCACTGCACTAGACTATGAAGGATGCCACAGTGAAGGATGCCACAGCTTGAAAATTACCTTCAGGCTGAATACCTGTGTGCATTCCCTTCGCACCAAAAAAACACTGTTAAATTGTTTTAATCCTTGCATTTGTTATAGTGCTTTATTAAATCTTTGAGACATCTCAAATCGCTTTACGAAATATATTGTAAAGTGAATTAACTGTTGTACAGCTCAAAGATCCCGGGGTCTGAGTCACACTGGATTCTGCTGAATCCCTCATTGTAAATCTTATTAGTGTCAGAAAAGCAAAGCTATTGGTGGATATTAATTTAACATGTCTGCTCTAGCTGTGCACAGCCTGATTGATTTAGTTTCAATTAGGATCCGTTTCAATTCTACACTACGGGTTCCACAGCAGTCCAGCCTGAAGAGATATTAGGGTACTATAACAATGTAAGATCTTTCTAAGTTTTTCTTACATGAATAAAGGTAGCAGACATCAGCAGATGGATGTGATGTCAGTCCACTTTGCTCATTCACCTTATTTAGTCATTAGACTGATTGGGTAAAGGCTCCTTGATTGCATGCACATGGCATCTGACATCTTTGCGTCATATATGCAACACGTCCCGAGTTCCAAACATTTGCAGGGGCAGATCAGGTAACTGTTTAGTGACAGCATTGACAGCAATGGTGGAAGAGGTCTCTGGTGCCAGAATTGGTTCAACCACCAGTGTCTCAACCTTGGCTGTCTTTTCACTTCAGGTCACTTTGTAATGTTTAAATTCAGCTTTACTGCCAAAATTCAGTCAAACTAAAATCACACCTCTTGCCCCCCCACCTCACACCTTCCCTTCTCTTCAATACAACACTTAGTTCTTTCCTAACTTAATTTTGCATCACAAAACAATACAGTATTTCCTGTCTGCTAAGCACACCAAATAGAATTTCAATGGACAGCACATCTTGGAGGCAATTACCATAGAGTATAACCATAGAGTGGAATTTGTGCCAGCTATAATTCATGAAAATTGCTATGCTCCCTCTTAAACTTAATAACACAGTGAGATTTTGGCTTAGTTCTTAAATTTATGTGTTCATCTCAAGAGAAAAAAAACTGAACTTTTATCAGTCTATGAACACAAAGGGGCTGAGATTTGACTTGATTAAAGAAACAACCGAAACATGAGTAAGCGTTGTTCTACCCTCGGATTTACACTCATGCCTTCTTCTCCTCGGGAGTAACTATGCATTTGATCTGCTGTCTGTATCGCTCACTATGCAATCAGTAAATCGATGCATTGGAGGAAAGCTAAAGGCATTGAGTGAACCCTTGGCTGATGCAGGCAAGCCAGAATCAGCCTGTGAAACTAATAGCCCAACAAAAAGAGAATACTTTCCTAGATAAAACAGCTGAGGATTGCTGTCATGTTCAAGCTAAAGTCATAATTTTCTTTTGGCGTCCGTGAATGAGAGGTCAGAGAAGCCGGTGGGTTTCCTGACTGAACATGCAGTGTGTATGGTGCGGTATAGCTCTGTAGAGTATTGTATAGCGGAGTGCAAATAGCTGTCAGTCTAAACTACATGGTTATTACTGTGCAAAGGCAGGTTGGAGCTTAAAAGGATTGATCTTTGCTCTAAATCACTACCCATGCTAAAGCTATTTCAGCTCTCTCCCACCCACTAATTTTCCTATACAGCTTCCCTGGTTTCTTAACATATTCAGTGAGCTCAGTGCTCTCCTATAATTTTGCCCCTGTCGGATTAATAAAATCATCACAACTTTGTTGAGAAGAGTTGTACTTTGGAATAAATTGCTAGTTATAAAATCAGGAGGGGTTGGTGGGCAGAAGTTATTAAGAAGGACTTTAGAGAATTGTGTTGACTTGCTTCAGCCGTTTCATTCTGAAGCACACAGAGACACTCTTGTCTGAGGGGAGGGTGGTATTGAGCCCCAAACTTTCAAATCAATTTGATAGAGATGAATAAAAGGACGCTCTGATGACTAACATGATAAGCACTGTACACTCACTGTCCATTGTGGAGCCCAGACAGGAGAATCCCAGGTCTGAAGAGTTAGATGATCACCCCCAGAGCACCAGTGGGGGGGTTAGGAAAGGGAATGATCAGCCAGGCTTTCCTGCTCCAGATCGCTCTCCAGGGATTCTTCATGAAAGTATGTGTATGTAGATGCCAGAGGCCCAAAAGTTTGGATTGGCCAAACTGGTTGAGTAAGGTTGCTGACACATTGGAGTCCTGTAGCTCAGTGGTTAGAGCACTCGCTTTGCAAGTGAGAGACCTGAGTTCAATTCCAGGCAGAGGGCGAAACCTTGGGCAAGTTTCCTTACTCCACACGCCTAATAATAATCCCTCCAAAACCAAAAACAATAATAAATGGGTCATTTTCAATCTACGACTGTTTGTGGGACATTGCTGTGCGCAATTGGCTGCCGCGTTCACCCACAAATATACAGTCAATTCACTTTACAGTGTGTTCTGTGAAGCGCTTTGGGACGTCCTCCTGACGTGAAAAGCGCTATATCAAATGCAAGGATTATTATTATTATTATTATTATTATTATTATTATTGCCTAGGCTGCTGTGTGAGCAATGGCCACTAGGGATGGGGTCTTGAGCATGAGTCTTGGCCGTCAGATCAGGAGAGGAAAAGCAATTTTAAATTGTCGCTGAACAAACCAGGTTCTACAGCCCCAGCGCTATTTACATCTATTTACATACGTTGGTTTCTCAATTAGCAATTTTTCATGAACATCCGAGGATTACAATAGCTCAGGACTCCTATTAGTTTTAATGAACTGGTGCAAACCTATGTCAGAAGCTAAACTGAATTTCGTTCATGGTATCAGTGCTGCAGCAGGAGGGCAGCAATAAGCCCTTTCTCAGTGGCATATCCATTCTCTATACAAGCCATGAGTTGTGGTGCTCACAGGATTCCGCACACACAAGCATAAATGAAAGCAATTAAGCTGTATCACAGCCCTGAAAATGCAGTTAATAATAATAATATAATAATAATAATAATAAAATAATAATCCTTGCATTTGATATAGTGCTTTTCACGTCTTCTCGACGTCTCAAAGTGCTTCACAGAATATGCTGTAAAGTGAATTGACTGTACATTTGTGGGCGAATTATACTGGCTGTAACAGAACTGTGCATGGAGTGTAAATAGATTCAATGCAA